TGTCCATATCTACTATTCGATTAACCATAGTACTAAAAAAATGATTTAACTTCAAGGATTAACAACTGCTTAAACACACATTGACAATTCGAACAAATGAATACTTTCAGCTCATCAATAATAATAATTTATTATATTTGTCTGGAAGGAGCTGTAAATCTCCAATGATTTGTATTACACTATTGCTATATACTTTCCATGTGACGGTACACGCGCAATATATTATAAGTACAATGCAAGCTATGGGAATAGTAAATAACAGAACACACATTAATATGAAAAGACTATAACGCCAATATTAGAATTCAAGTTGTTCTAGTGCGGTGACCGTGTTCCCTGTGCTGGACAGACGAGGCAGTCGTATATATGCTTGGTTGCATTGCATTCGGTTATATACTACAAAACAATGGCGTTCTTGTAACACAAAGAGATAACTCTGTATTGTGGGGGAGGGGTCGGAACACGTACGCACCGAAGGCTTTGTCAGCCCATCGCAAGTCTGGATTCAACCAGTATATCCATGGGAGTGGGTTGGAATTTTTGGATGGACTACTTTAGTTTCCGTTTACATTTGCGGTGTGCTATTTGTGTGTTCTAGAATAGATTACTAGTAATTCTATTCTCTGTTCATACTTTTATTCCGTACAATTAGTTACACGTATTTTATCATATGTTATCATATGCCGCCCAGAGGAGAAATATTCACCAACCTCTAAACTGTGTAAGCGCCTTCTGAAACTCCAATATTGGCATCAGTTCTGTGCTTAAAACGTCATTTCGAGACAGAAAAAAACGAAGTTAATCATAAGGTGAAATTAATAAAGCCCATAAGAGATCTAAACACGTCATTGTTCTCAACGGTACACCCTCTCTATTCAGAGATCACTTACAATAACTACGATAATATATGGTCTAATGACATGATCGCCCGGGGATAAATTCCACTAAGGAGGAATAAAAACCGTGACGCCGGGCCACGATAGACACAGAAGTCGTGCTCAGGCTACATCAAGTACGGACTAATCTCACATGTTTATTTACAATGGCATTTGGGCGCATAGCCCGAGCTTAGCGTTCGCGCACGCTTCGTTAGCCCGGTTTTAAAACGGGCAGGTTTATTTGGTACTTACCGTTGCTTAGCCCGTGCTTTAAGCGTTCGTGCAGGTTTTCTTAGCATGAACTAACGTTCTTGACCTCTTAGCCCATACTAAGCTATATTTACACTCGTTTTACAAGAGATATACTTTTACGCTGGTAAAGCGTGACTTATTAAAATGGTGATTTTTGATTTACGGGTATGTAAAACGAAATTACATTAACGGATGTAACTGATAACTTTTCCAATGAAATCCTTAGCACCCCGTTGGCAGGCCAGTCACACTGGTTCTCACCACAAGAGGTTACGATCCCCCCTGCCAAATGCTAACTGAAACTAATATATACATATTTACATGAAAATTTTCCACCTATGCGGATCTGTTTGTGCAGGAGTTTTACGACCGTGTGCCTTTACTGACGTCAACCAAACTTGTTATATGGGAAGTTGGCACCCAAGGCTCACAGGTGCTACACCTTGCCCAAGCGTGACCTGGAGGTAGTTGTGGCAAAGGGTAATCTCATTCTCCCAAATGGTATTACAGTACAACACACACAACGCAGCGAAACGAACGGCTGGGCACTGTTTAACAACTATTCATATTAATAAGTTTATCTGTCTTGTGCTGATGTATAAGGAAGCGTATTTCGTACTGCTACTGGTTTATTAGGAAAAGTCGTTAATTCTTCATTTATCCTCACACAGATGCATCATGGGTTTTTTAGCGGATATATTATACTCGCTGATGGCATATACAGTGATCATCAGAGTCACGTTCAGCGCTGGTACGTACCATTTTCTTATAATAACGCTCGCTGAAAAACAAGTTTTTTATAACATGTAGCATTGTGTGTATTCATTTGTTAATGAACAAAAACTGAGTAATAAATACGAAGCAATTAGTAAGACGCAAGTTAATGCTTATAAATACGAATTCGTTTTATTTATTTATTTATTTATTTATTTATTTATTTATTTATTTATTTATTTATTTATTTATTTATTTATTTATTTATTTATTTATTTATTTATTTATTATTTGATTAATTAATTAATTTATTTATTTATTTATTTATTTATTTATTTATTTATTTATTTATTTATTTATTTATTTATTTATTTATTTATTTATTTGTTTGTTTGTTTATTTATATATTTATTTATTTATTTATTTCGTTGTTTATCGTAGATGTAATTATCAGTGATATACAAACCACTATGAGTAGTGGTAGCTCCACAGATGTTAACTTGGGAGAAACCGTTTCCTTTTCATTGGATATAACTATAACTGGGAGCGGGACAAGCACTCATACTGGTTACGCCGTTTTTCAAGTATTCCTTTCTCTGGACAGTGCTGGCACCAGTCCATTGTTTACCGAAACCGGCACTACGACAATGCAGGGAATCGATTTAACAACTGTATCTCCGGTTACTGTGACGGACATTTCAGCAGAAATTGACCTTAGTAGTGAGACGACGTGTACGTTCGCCTATGTTTGTGTTGACATGAACCCCGTACAAGGAACGTGGGTACTTGATGCTGCTGCAAGTAACAACGTTGGCTGCACATCCGTTAACTGTATTCGTAAGTAGTTGTTTATATTTTCAACAGTCTGTATATTCGAAAATATTCTCCTGCCACGTAGTTTATACCAGTAAACACTAGATATATCGCTATTATGTCATTGTTTATAACCCTTCTTCAAAGTTATGTTTAGCATAAACTTAGCAGAAAGCCCTTTCAATTGTGTGTAACGTGCCTGGCCAAAAATCTAATCTGAAAGTTGCGAGTTATACTGATCGAAAGCTGGCATATTATTTGTCGTGTTTGGACTAAGTTAGTCATTGTTTTTACTATAAGAAATCCCTTCATGTATGCTCTTCGAATTCCGCTTCGGGGCGCGCTAAAAACAACCTAGTAAGTAAAGTTCGATGTCTAAGTCGATCGCGTATACATGACCATTTTGCTTGCTCGAGCCGTAGGACCCCGATAGAATGCTGTTGTTTAAACGTATCAATTGTTGTAGATCACCTTGGCCTGATTAATGTTTATATTCATAGTTCGTCTTTACAATTACGTGTGAATAAGTTTTTTTGCTGATTTCTTCCACTCTTATCAGTAAATGTAGACATCGGAAATCACACTTTTGTTGAAGAAGTAGTGGGATTTTGATGCTGTGAGTTTTACGCAGTGGGGTCCCATACGAGGATGGGTAACACAGTAAAATAGTCATCCTATAAGGTAATTCGAAAGATAGACTCGGACCTGATGACTACACAGGAAACAACTCAAGAATTTGATGATTGTCTATCTCAGACTTAACGGAAAGGAAAACGAATTTGGACTTGGTAATATAGTCAACTTGTAATCTTAGACCGCCAAACACAGAATTATCAGGGGTAAATCTTCTTTCTCTCGGGTTCTCCACACTTGTCAGGGGGGGAACTCGTCTCGTCTCTATACCTCGTCCCCTTGAGGTACGGGATCGGGAAAGTCACTTTAACTTTACAGTCAAATAAGACACACACAACGAAATACGTTTCAGCTCTCGTCTTAGTCGATCTTTTGGAGCACTCTATAAGACACAGCGCCCTGGGGAAAAGTCCCCAAGACTCTCGCAAGGCTGACCCAAGACTAGCCCAAGACTGGACTGCCTCAAGGCTCGCCCCTGGACTCTCTCGGACTCTCGACTGCCCAGGACTGCTCTCTCTCTCTACTGCGTCTATCGTGCTGTATTCGCCAAGACCAACTCAAACTCTCTTTATTCATTTTCAAAACTCTAACCAATTACAAAACAGTAAAAAGACTCTAGGGCGTAACCTTCAATCATAAAGCCAATCACATTAAGTACTGAATACGTCATATCTTTTGATTAATCGTTCACTACATTAATAACTATGGATACCAACTGTCAGAATCGCGACGGTTATCTGGTAATTAGTTTCAAATCACTGAGCCAAGTTCCGTCCAAAACTTTAAATAGGCCTAAACGATGACAGACATAACACAGCAATTCGCTCGTAATCAACTAATTAAGTCGGTTAACATATACGCGAAAACAAATTCATGACACATCCCTTCACCCAAACTGAGATATGCCTCCCGGCATAACACGTTCATAAATCAAAGATACCGTCCTCTACTCATCGTCATACAGGTTAAATACAATACTAATAAAAGGTATAAATCAAAAAGAGTAAAACACACTAATTAAGTACAATGATTATAAAGTCTAAATACAATGGTTATAAAGTCACAAATATCAACGGTTATGATCAAAAAAAAA